TTCATATATCATGCACAACACCCATCAAACCCAGCTCTCAAGGATGATGCGCTACTTCAAGCCGAAGAGTGGGACATCCGCAGCCAGCAAAGAAGCCCTTGAGATGTTTAACGACAAGAACAAGAGAGACTTATAGTAAATATTCTGGGTATTGTGGTGTGTGTGTACGTGCCCTCTCACAGTTGGGTTGGCTAGCTGTTAGCATCTGTTAGCTATGAACTATATGCTTGCAAAGGAGACCAATTGGCCGAGATTCTGAAGAAGGAGGGCAGTTTTGGTGCCATGGAGGTTGCCATCAAACATATCTCGGAACAAGAGGAGATGATTGAGTTAGAGGGTGGATGGGAGACCCGAATCTCATTGACTGCCCTTGGGTGGACTGAGAGCCATGTCTAAAAAAACATTATATGTGAATGTGTTTTACGAACATGTTTTTTTTGGACAAACCGAAGTTCGTGGATCCAAGGGACATGATCAACAATTCATACGAGTGGGCAGCTGCAAGAAATCTGGTTCGTCGCAATGAAGTGCACAAAGCAGAGGAATGGAGGTTGCCCACAAAGAGCAAATTTGCATACACAGAGAGAAACAAGAAGTCGACAACGAAGTCAGGCACCTTCCATGTTGATGATCCAAATGGATCCCTCTTGGACTTCAGCGACCTCTCTGAGAGCCAAGCTATGATGAAGCTTGTCTAGTTATATTATATTTCACGCAGTCTTGAACCTTGTTGGATTGATGACCCTTCTTACTGGCTCTTAGGCGGGGCGCTTCCTCCGGCACATCCAACCAGATTATGGCAAATAGTGCAAACACTACCAAGCAGCAATCGCTCCCTATGGTTCAACAAAACCAGGACCCATTTTGTTCCTTGATTTCAGTTTGAGTGTGTGTGTGCGCGCAATTCTATAAGTGTGTGTTCCCAAGTCTGTCTGTTTGCTCACTAAGCTCCCCAAGTCTTCTGCCGTGAACTATCTTCAGGCTATGTGGCTCAGTATATCGATGGCATGGGCAAGAAACTGGATAAAGTGGATGAGCTCAAGGACATGTACATAAATAGCAAACATATTCAAAAGCATGTAGTCTATCCCAAGAAACTGGATAAAGTGGATGAGCTCAAGGACATGTACAAAATTGCAAACATATTCAAAAGCATGTAGTCTATCCCAATCTATGACTCTGCCTGATCCTTGGGAGCAGGACAAGCTTTCCTCTTTCAAAACTACACGCGGTGATCAGCATCTTGGTTTCAAGCTGCTGTGTTGTGTATATTATGCAGGATGTATGCGCGCTAAACCTCCCACAGTTTTGTTTGCATTTTCACGATTATAAGGATGGCCACCCTTGTCGAGAAATCTCGCCTGGACTACAAGAACACGTATGAGGAGCTGATCAAGTTTGAGCAAGACCATTGCACGGTGCAAGCTGCATCGGTGGCCTGGCTGTTATATATATATATATATATGTATTTAAAGGATCACTTGCCGTGTGGTGTGCGCCCTCAACCTTTTGAAACATCTTGAATCTTGACCCCCATGTTAGTGGCTCAAGGTTGAGCAGAAAGACCAACTACGAGAACTCTTCGTGAAGTGCAGCAAGAACGACGTCACTTTGAACCACCTCATGTCTCGAGCTAGGCCCCATTATGTTCACAGTTGCAAGAGCACTGTTCTCCCTTTCACATTCGAGCTGAATGACTCTGACACGTCCCAGGGCATTGAAACCAGCGCCAAAGGCGAAGGCAAAGTCTAGCGCTGCTGCAAAGGCCTCGGCGTCAGTAAAGGCCAAGGGTGATGGCACTGATGCCGCTGGTTCGAAGCGAAAAGCCCCCAAAGAGAAGAGCGCTCCCAAAAAGGCAATGAAGAAGAAGTGAGTCAATTTTTGATGGGCATTGCACTAGCTGATACAATGCTATCAATTGGGGTTGAGCCAATGTGTGACTAAGCGCATGGCTGGTTTAATTACTTGGGATCAGTGGTCTACAATGGACCCGCTGGAGCATTGAAGCCCATCATTGACGGCCAAAAAGAATGACCCTAGTTGTTCAGCTTTCGCAGTAGCTTTCACCAGCAGTGGGGATTACATAATTCCCACTTGTCCCGAATTACCCCCAACAAATCACGTGCCAGGTGTTGCGACAAGAGTGATGATCAGCCAAAAGAGTGGGAGAGGAGACCTGTTTAACTACAACCCTGGTCATCAAGTGTCGCAACCGCTGGTACAGGAGTTCGTCAACGTGATCGAGACTTCATGAAGGACCAGGACGACGCTATGGAGCTGCTCGAGTCATATTTTTGCGGAGTTTCTCGGTTTCACGCATACTATACATTCGACGCGTTGAGATGTGTTTTATGTCAGGGGGTCTGCAAAGAAGTTGAGGCTGAGACTGCCAAACGAACTGCTCGGATCGCTGAAATGATTTCTTCCAAGTGTGGACCTGATCGAATCTGAGCGTACTTACTTGTTTTGCATGTCAACATCTCAGTCAGCCAGATTACCCAGATCCCCTTCACTCGCCGGACACGTTGCCAAGGAGCAGGCAGTCTGCTGTGCAAGATAGCATCCACCAAGAACTCCGTGACCAACGTGACCAGAAACCTGAGATCTGTGATTCGAGGGGCGGACGCTACAGTGCCAGTAGAAGTCAACCTGGTGGCTACCACGATCCGCCTTCGGAAACCAAGGGCTAGAGTTGTTTCAGTCTATTGGCCGGTTCTTTCGATGCGAAGCTGGTGTGAAAACTTGATGGCAAAGTATCCAAAAGTACTTTTGGGCGGGCATGACCTAGAAGACGATGGTTGGCAAACTCTGCTATCATGGTTCTGGGAGGCCTTCCACCATGATGACCCCCCTTCATCCCATCTTCCAGTCTGATGATTGGGACCCTCGCTACACAATCCCTTACATGACCCACGGTGACGAGGGGAAGGGCTTGCGATGCCAGCCATTCATGGTGCAAAGCTGGCAAACAGTCCTATCTGTGCATGGCCCTGGGGAGACCAACATGTCAGGGCAGCTCTTCTTTTATTTAGTGAATGTGTTCAAATTTGTGTTAAGAGGTTCGTCTATGGCTCGCAAACCTCGGCGTTTGGGGGTTGATCCGTGCCAAGACTGAGGCATACCTTTTGCTCACGGTGGCTCCATTCCTGCATTTCGTCCAAACTCTACAATGTCGAACAAACACTTAGAGATATTAACAATGCGTGGGCTACAGAGATGGCATCCCTGTACCATGATGGTTTTGAGGTGAGGTGTGGGGATTGTGTGTAGCGCCCTGTGGCACAGTTCTCCCAAATTTGCAATCCCTGGAGGTCAATGGCCTTCGATTCAGAATGGTTTGGATCGCTGGAAAAGGAGACTGGCCATACTTGAGAAAGGTTTCTCACCTACAATACTTGTCATTCACGCAACGCCGGCTTGAGTTTTAATAATTCTCAAATGTCTCTCAGGCCTATAGCCTGATCACTGGTTTTGTTTGCCATCGGGTTTGCCATTGGTGTGATGGCCAGGCCCGGATCGCCAACGTATCTACTTGTTTCGCGATCCAACGTGTGATGTATGTTCCTCGGGGTTGAGAATCATGCAGGAATGGCATCGTATGGATGATGGTGCGCCTTGGAAGAGGAATCGTCCTGGGCCAAATCCGTTCAAAGCTGGCGGGAATCCATTTGCAGGAGTTGTGCCAGGAGCCGATGACCCTTTTAGAATCAAGCCTGACATTGTCCACACCTTCCACATAGGATTTGGGGCAGACCTGTGTGCCAGCGTGATTGTGTGGCTGTCTATGAAGGGTTGTTTTGGACTCCATCCAGCTTTTGACGACCGGTTGCTGGCTGCCTATTCTGCTTTCCAACAGTTTTGCCACAACACCTCCCGCTACACTTCTTGCGACGAGTGGTCCAAGAGTAATCTTGGAATGTCCAAGCTTCTGGGCAAATCTTCGGGCTTCACTGTTCTTTCACATTTGATGGAGCACTTGCATACACACCGCCACCCAAACCATCCACCAAGGCTGGATTCCTTTCCCACTTAGGCTACAAAATGCCTTGGAGTCTTTTGAGTCTTAGCCCAACACTTGGTCTAGGAAACAGCAAGCGCCAACACTGTGATCGATAATGAAATGCCACGCCCCAGGACTGTGACAGCGACATGATGATCATGAAGTACACACTGCAAAAGGTGAACGAGCTTTTCGATGTACTCTACAGTCATGGCATCTTTTTGCCAGGGCAAGAGGCTGTGCGGGCAGGGACAGCTGCCTATCTTGTGTGTGATTCTCTCACGCATGTTAATGACTTTATGGACAACTTTGGGGGGGTCCCTTCAAAAGTGAACTACCCTAATAGACGTGCCACAAAATCCGTTCATCTAAGGAAGGGTACCTTCAGCTGGCAAGCTTGGCACATCGCAACGGCAAAAAACTGTTCCGGGTAAGGCCAAAGTGCCACATGCTAGCTGAACTTGGGTTGATGTTGAAAGAGCTAGGCCAGAATGGTCGTCTGGCTCTATCGCCCATAGCCACTTGCACGTGGTCAGATGAGGATTTTATTGGACGTGTAAGTCGGTGCGCTAGATCGACACATGGTGCCACCATAAGCGTATCTACCATGAAGAAATGTCTTGGTATGTACAGCATACAGCTGAGACCTCTTGCTGTCAAGAAGCGTTCTTGAACTTGCAGGCGCGGCCAGGAAAACGTCGCTGAGAGCACTCCACTGTATGTGCGGGGATGACGGCGGGAAATCAAATGAAAAACCTTAAACTCCTGAAATCACTAAAAAACGAGAACTCCTTAAAATTTCTAGGAGGAGGAATCTCCAGGATGAATCAACACGCTAATTCCATAACTCATGCAACAGAACGCCAAGTACGACCTGTTAAAGAAAGAAAAAGCGTCATCGTTCCCCCCCCCACTGAAGAAAACGACTCTGCTGACGACTCTGCTGAAAAGCGCTCCCCCAGGCGGTTTGGCGGTCGTGTCCGTGGGAGTCCGTGGTCTCCTTGGTCTCAGCGGGTTTTTCCGCTCCGCCACTCCCGGCCGCGTCTCCAGGCAACAACCTGCGGTGAGCGAACGGGTGTCTGGTCCAATCAGACGAAGACGAGGACGGACTTATGGACTTGGGGGATCCTATTCAGGTTTCAAAGTGAGGTCTACCACATGGCAAAGATTCCCAAATGTTCTTGTTGACAGAACATGTATTAAACATATTATGTTTGCGATTCTTTGGTGTATACACACATCAGCGTGGCGGAAGCTCTACCATGACCATTTCCACTAAAAAGGGGGTTCCCTCTCTTAACGGTCTTAACGGCTGATGGACTCATTCAAGTGGACACAAGTGAATTGCACGTTTGCATGTGTGAAAGTCACAAAGAACCAAGCGCGACCGCGCGACGACATGAAAGCATCTTTTGGCGCAAGATGAACGACCCTTGTGCCTAAATGGCCAAGGAAGGTTGGTACATATGCTCAAATGACATCATGCGGAGGTTCATGGAGTTCTTTCGCACTCCTTCCGCTTCGAAAATTGTGTGAAGCGCTCCGCACCCCTTTTACGGGCAAATTCAAAAATCCTTTCTTCACAGTGCACCACCACTCATCCGCTTTCAATCTCTTGGTCAAGAGATCTGCCATTTGATCTCCTGTCGGCAGCCAGTGCAAGGGTGGACGGAGAGGTTTCTCCGGTGTTGGAGCGCCTTGCCCATGACGCTGAAGCCACTGGTGCCGTCCTTCTACAAGTAGGGCTTGGCGGATTCCTGCCAGGTCGAGGGCCAAACGTTTTTCTGAGGGTGCCCTGGGGACTCCTTCACGATGGATGTGGTCATACAGGCTACGGCAGTCGGTGATGAGGTGCAATGGGAGGTATTGCCCAGCTTCTTCTGCTGGAACATTCTTCCCAAACTTGAAAGAAAGGAGCAAGCTTCTCAAAAACACGGCCGTCTCTAAGGCCTCGGAACATGCCATGGTCTCGCCAGCAAACGTCGAGCGGCAAACACGTTGGGAGGCCTTGCTTTTCCAATCCATGATGCCAAAGTGGCCGTTTTGGCCCTCCAAGCACTTCTTGTCCCCAATCATCACCAGGGAGGCAAGTTGGGATGACAAAGTATGGTTTCCAAGCCAAGCTTCATCTGATGGGTCCTGGGTGTTGCCATCCACATTTGCCCAAGCTGCATCATGATATCCCAACATCACGAAGTCCTCCTCAGGGATGAAGCGGAGGCATAAACCTTCTTCTTGGCGGGCCAATGCATCGGTCACGATGCGGTTGGTTTCTTTGAGGTCTTTGACCGTCGGGTTCTTCTGCCGCCTCTGTGCCTGACACACCTGGAATTGAAGGTCAGGCCGGGTTTGCTTGGCCAACCAAGAGAGGCACCCAATAGTGGTGCGGTTCTCCTCCACCTGCTCTGGCGTAGCCAGATCCTCCTCCACAGCTCCAGCCGCCAGGCTCACCTTTTCCACACGGCTCTTGGTGTAGGAAACCTGTTTGATGTGGATGATGTCCGGCCGACAGTCATACTCGCATCCGAGGTACTCGAAGGACCCAGACTCCCATTCATCTACAGGAAAAGCTCCTGATCCAAGCCGGGTTCAGCCATCAACATCAGGTCATCAACGTGAGTCAAGATCCAGCCCCGGGTGTTGGCAGCAGCGTCCACAATCATGAAGGCGCAGGGGTCAATAGGATTCTGCTTCACCTTGAGTTCCTCCTGGCGGTACGTGATCTGCATCTTGGTGAGCTCACCAGACAACTTCATCCACCAAAGCTTTGGTGAGGTGGACAATCCAAAGACCCCTTTGATGATCTCAATCAGTTGACCCTTCTCCAGAGTTGGCATCCCCCTCCGGGGCTGTCGGAAGTAAAGAGTCCGTGGTGCTGGCAACCCGTTCAAGAAGGCCGCGCGAATGTCCCCGATGGAAACGGTCCACTTGCGGGCCAGGCTCAACTGTAGCGCTAACAGCAAAGCATGCCTTGATGTAGTGGGAGCGTCCGTCACCATGTCCACTTGTCCAAGGTCTGGGTCATTCTGACCAGCAACACACAAACGGGCTTTTGCCTTGAGAGGCACCTTCGGATCAACTCGCCTCTTGGCCCTGTTCTTGTCCCGGTAAAGGAAGCGGCAGTTCAAGATCCTGGAAGAGTCGACAGTGCGCTCGACCTCTTGGCTTTGTTCGAGCGAGAGGGCTCTGACAGCCCCGAAGTCCAGGTGTTCTTGCCATTGTTTGAGCTCTGCCTCTTCATAAGCGGGACGTTCATGTTGAGGAATCATCTCACAGGGAAGCTCTTTGTCCAATTGCTTTTCTCGGCCCTTCTGAGTCAGGACCCGTTTGACAAAGAAAGGTCGTTGTGCTCGGAACTTCTTGATGGGAACAGGCACATCATCCAGAACGTGTGCCTTGCGAGCAGCAGCTCGGATGGCCTCGGCTCGTTCTTCCACTCCTTCCATAGGAAGTCCACCTTCATCTGGAGCATCCATTTCTACATGCCCTTCTTCTTCACGACGAGGATGTAGGTGCGCTGGTGCTCCGGCATCGATCTCGTCAGCACTGTCCAGTTCATAGAAGGCATCATCATCTTCATCTGCCCGCATCAGCTGTTTCAGCTCTCGGAGTGCCACCCGAACAGGAAGTCCTTCGCTCACCTCCTCGTGTTTGGCCTCCCTGAGATGTTCAGGGGCGACTAAAAGACAACGTCCTCCTCTAGCCACCCAGTAGTTCTGCCCCTCGCGACCAATGACGGAACAAGGTCCGATCCACCTCCGTTTGCCTTTTCCTTCACGGAACACATAGACCAGCTCCCCAGGGTCAAAAGGTCGGGTGGTCACACGAGACTTGTGAGCTATTGCCTTAGCGATGGCATCTTTGGACTGTGCTTGATAGTAGGAGGCCCGAGCGCCCATTCGGATGACATGCCGTCTCCCATAGGCCTCGTCATTGGTGATGTTGTAGAGGGCAGCGATGTCCTCATTGTCTTCAAAGAGGTCATGTTCTCGGAGTTGTCCCCCAAATACCCACTGTCGAGGTGAATACCCTGCCCGAGAGCGCAACCCATTCTTGGCGTCATTGACCGCTGCACAGGCTTCCTTGACATCGGCGTCCAGGATGGAGTAGTCCTCAACCAACTTGCTCCAGATAGCTTTCCAAGATGAGCCGTGCCGTTCACAGAGTCCGTTCTGCCAATGTGCCTGGCCAGCTGAGCATCGGATGATTGTGCAGCGCCGATCAAGAAGATCTAAAAACTTGTCTTTGAAAGCCGAGTCCAGGTCAGCCAGCACATTCTTAGGGGCGCCAGCCCATGATATCCAGCCATCCACGAAGCTAGCTCCCACTTCTCCAGAAGAAATCCCCGTCAAGGGGATGACCACTTGGTAAGTGCTGGACATGTCAACGCAGTTCAAAGCTGGAAGTGCCTGGCTCTCACACGTGTCCAACCAAATGATGTCAATGGCGACCACCTGGTTGAAGTCTAAAGCCGCGTGAGGCTGTGTCACCCTGGCCGGCCTCGGCTTGCTGTGTTTGTCACAGGTTCGGCACTGCATCTGTTCAGCAGCACGGACAATCCCTTCGGAAGCTCCACTAAGTCGGAGGTGTCGTATCAGCTCTCGATTGGGCGGGTGTCCAAGATTCTGGTGGATCCTCCGCAGTGTGGAAGCGACCATAGGTTTCACTTTTCCTTTGAAGGTGATTCCTTCAGCCCCGAGTGCGTCTTCGGCTTGGTCGACTGAGGGCGTCTCCGTGGGGAAGTTCTCAAAGACCGATCTCCCTTCTCTCATGGCTTTGTCATAAGCCCTCACCACCGCATTGGCAAAGGCCGTGGGATAGGCTGAAGAAAAGGATGTGTCCTTTCCTTGGATCGGCCGGTGATCATGTCCTGCATCATGGCACTTCCTCCCCATTGCATTGGCAAAGACCTCATTGTTGGTGAGCAATGACATGGCTTTCTTGAGAGGTCTTCCATCCATCGAACTTGTCAGACTGTACTGACACATGTCTAAGTCGGCGTACCTCGCCGCCGGGAAGTTGGTGAGCCTCTCAATGTCTGGGTGCCTCCATAGGTCACTGCTGCGGGGATTCTCAATGATCGCCAGGCCACCCAAGGCATTCTGCATCTCGAAGACCTTTGCAGTGAAGTCCACGATGACTTTCTCTTTCTGTCTCAACCTCCTCAACTGTTGCGGGGGGTAGTTCAGCCGTGAGAAGTTGCACCACAGCGTGCATGGTGGCGCCATCCAGACCAATCCAGGCCGTTGCACGTTAATGTCTTCAAGGATGGCTTCTTGTACTTCAGGTAGTCGGCAATCGTGATCATACCTCAGGTCACGGGGTTCAAGAACTCCTCGCCGATGCCGAGCGAATGCCGAAGAGATGCGAGCCTCCCCCGCAAAGATCTCCAAGCAATCCACCTCCGAGCGCTCGTGGTCACGTACATGGTGGCGAGGTTGGGTGAGAGCCCAAACTTCCCAAAGCGGCTCGTCCACCACTGATTCTGCCCATCCAGCCAACATCACGGACGTGGCCATCAGAATCTGGAAGACATTCATCACCCCATCTCTCACTTTCCTCATGTTGGTCCGCTGCTCCGCACGGCGGCGTCGGATTCCATGGCGAGCTCTCGCCCGTGGTGACATGGTTTCATTGCCTGAGCTGGTCACGTTGTCATCTTCAATCACCTCAAAGTCATCAATGCGGCTTGGACGGCCTGGAGGAAGTGAGTCTTCCTCGGAGGCCGATTCCTGGTCCCCGCCAGGCTCATAGGTGTGGTCCGCGGCTCCCTCCGCGATCAGGCCGGAGTCCTCTTCAAGCTCAAAGCCCTGGTACTGGTCGCCCCCAGTCTCATAGATCGATTGGCCAACTGGCTCCTCATCGCTCCCCAGGTGCTGGATGCCACCAGCCTCATAGGTCTCCGCCACCTCCGGGCGAGGGGGCTTCACTCCTTTGCCTGCCGCTTCTTCAGGGCTGCGATCTGCTTCTCCAGGGCCTGGATCTGCTCTGACGAGTCTTCGTTGTCGTCCACGATGTCGCTCTCCGTCATCTCCGCCGCGCCCTTCTTCCTTGGAGGAGTGCGGACTTGCTTCCACGACCCGTCCGAAGAACTGGCCGTCCCCGGCGGGCGGCGAGCACTTGGTGGCGGTATCAGGGCCAGAGCTTCCGGATCTCTCCCCAGCTCGCTCTTGGAGTAGGTGATTCCTGCCTCCTTGCGTCGGCCCAATTCTTCTTTTGCACAAGTCGCCAGGCGCACCAGGTCCTCGTGGGAGTTTGGATTCCCTTTGGTTTCTTGGATCGACCACTTCAAGTAGCCTTCCGGGATCTCCTGGTACATGTACCCCTTGAACCTGCCAAAGGGCACCACAGTCTGGCCAGGAGTGCTGCGAGCATCCCGGATGGGCTTGATCATGAGACCCCGGGTCGGTTTGGTTGGCAGGGCAATGCCTTCCTTCTCCGCCAGCTCCACCAACTCCTGCAGCTTGAGGGCTGTCAGCCCCTTCATCTTGTCGTTGGCCGGCGCAGGTTTCTCCAGGTCCCGCTGCTCGATGAGGATCTGTCGGAGTTCGGGGACAGTCCAAGTCCGGTGCACAACCACCCCTCGTTCTTGGAGCTCCACCAACAGCTGCTCCTTCTTCATGTTCCATGGCGAAGGAAGGAGAGAGGGCATCCGGTGTCAAGCACGGCAAATCCGGGCAGGCCGTGCAAGCTTGAGGTCTCAGCTTAACAAAGCGGCTGCGTCCGATCCATGGGCCAACTTCAGCTTCAAGTGCACCACATGAGTGAAATACATCGCAATGACTCTTGATGACAGTGCCGGATGCCAAGCAAGGTAGATATTCAGTGACTCTATGGCCATGCAATTGATCAAGTAGTGCAGCTTTCAAAGCAAACAACGAGGTGTTCCACTGCGACGGATCGAACAAAGTTTTTCGAGGGACCACATGAACCCGAACGAACTCCTCTTCCGTCTCGACCCAGAAATCCCTGCTTTGTTTGACCGTCTTCCACCACCCATAGAAACCAGGACCCCCCAAGGGCGTAGGTGATGAAAGCATGTTGTGAATCTCCGGGCAAGCTTCTTGGGGCAAGCTTGTTGGGGTAAAACAAAGGAGAAGAAGGAACGCGAACCGGCACATCCACGCTCATGTATGCCTCCTCAGCGATCAAGTGCAATTCACCCACACGCCGCTGTGGCGCATGGCAGGGGATTTTCCTCCCTTCACAATCAGAAACAAGGAGCGATGGATGCCCCGATGCACAAGTTTGCAACTGGACGTTCCGCAATCCCAAAACCTCTAAATCGACCTCTTCAGCCGCCAAGTTGTACTGCATCCCAAGCGATGCGAGAACAGGCCTGCTGAAAAGCAGCGGCACTGAACAAGGAACTATCGCGATGTCCACTTTGAAGAAGACACCGCAAATTGCAAACCAGGCTTTCACCAAAAAGGTGCACACGAACAGCTTGGAGGCTCCGAACCTGAAATGCTCTTCACGGTCCTCCGTGCACACTTCATAGCCATGGGCGGCAGCCCAATCAGCATAGCGCTCGAACCAGTCATGGCCAGCAACTGACTTTGTGCAAGCGGTGTCCACAATGGCCAGCAACCTGTCAGCCGGCCCCGCCGGCAATGCCGCACTTTGTTTCACCTCAGTCATGAGGCACTGTTCAACTGTCCGTCCACAGGTCTCCTTGGCGGTCTCGGTGATGCAGGACTGGCGTAGGCCGCAGTCCACTCCCCCATCGAGGCCACCCTGGAGGTTCTCAAGGACAAAGGTCTCTTCAATGGTATTGGGCTCATCAGTCAACAACATCTCGGGTCCCAACCGTCCGTAGGGAGGGCGTAGTCCGCCAGTGCCGAAGTCCACTTCAGTGAGGTAGACCACCTGACACATCTGGGCCGATTGCACGGCCTTCCCGCTATCCGGCTTATCATCCGAACGTGAAGGGCGTGCTTGGCCACGCATGGGGCACTCGGCGTCCCGATGCCAGTGTCCCTTTCGCTTGCAGACTGAGCAATAGCTACGTTGCTTTGCCAATCGAAGTCTCTCCTCCGACCGCTTCTTCAACTCATCAAGGTCAGCTCCACGTCCACGAAGTGCTTCTCGGTACTTGGCCTTTGCACCTTGGTACGCCAGGTAGGCGTTGTGCTGCTGGTAGGCGGTGTCCTCGTCGACCAACTCCTCTACCTCTTGAGGTTCCTCTTCATCATCCTCGGAACTCTCATCGTGGTTGGTCATGTGGACTGAATGCTTTGTCCACCGCTTGTTCCAACCGCCCTTCTCAGGCATCTTCCCCACTTGATCTCCTCCACCAGGGCGTCGGAGAGCTCGATCCTGGACAAGAGCAGCTTGCTGAAGACGTCGAACGTCATAGGTGTTGTTCACGCTCGAAAGCAATGCCAGTTCCTCGCTCTCGCTCAACCTCAGCTTGTCCAGGTAGAGCCAACCTTTGATCAAGGGAGGTAGTTCACAGCGAACTTCATGGAGCCTCAACACCAAGCGTTCAAACTCCACATTGAAATCTCGAACGCTTTGGTCGTTCCGGCGACGGCATCTCCTGAAGAGCTCATTCATGATCTGAGAGATCTTCGTGAGCTCGACTTCCATGAAGCGGGTCTGGATCCATTCCAAAAAGTAAGAGACTCCTGTCTCCATGGCCAGCATGTCCACGTCCAGCTCCTCTGCATAGACCCACGCCTTGCCAGTCAAGGCCGTGTACAAAGCCAAGGCCCGTTGCTCGGGCGGCATCTTGGTGCACCTCAACCATACCTGCACTCTTCTCACATACGATCTGGCGGATCGTCCCAACTCAGCATCGTTGATGCCTTCCCCATCGAACTCAGGAACCACCAGCTTCTCGGAGGGTTTTGCCTCGGATTTCCAAGCTCGATCAGGCCAGTCAGCCTGAAAATCATAGCTCCCGGCCCATCTGCCGTTGTTGATGGCAGTCATCTGGTCAATCTTTGCCACGTTGAAGTTTCGAAGCTCGGCGTCCGACATCCACCCATCCCGAGAGCCTCCACTCCAAGGGTCAGCCGAGGGATGAGACCAGGGGTCAGCTTCCCAGGCAGCTGCTTCCCAGTGTTCATCATTCCAGGGGTTCGAACTCCAGTCAGCTGCCTCCCAATTCTCATCTCCCCATTCCCACTCCTCTGGTTGCGACCGGGGTTGCACACTAGCCGAAGGCGTTGTCCACTGCCCATCTCCAAGGGGATCTTCACTCGCCAGGGCAGCATCTTCGGTCGCAACCATGGGCGGTCTCCTTGGCTGCCATGCTCTTTGCCCACCGGGCATCAAAAGGCCTGAACCGGCCCCAGACAGCTCCGCGGCACCAATGTGAAAGTCACAAAGAACCAAGCGCGACCGCGCGACGACATGAAAGCATCTTTTGGCGCAAGATGAACGACCCTTGTGCCTAAATGGCCAAGGAAGGTTGGTACATATGCTCAAATGACATCATGCGGAGGTTCATGGAGTTCTTTCACAGCATGTATTATGTTCTCTGGGTGATTCGCGATGAGCTTACCTTCCCCATGTTGCAACATCCACAAATTCCATCCAATTCCGACTTGACGTCTTCTGGCCCTTTTGGGTGTTTCTGGGGGCCTGCCCCTGCTAAGACTCAGGGCCTGAACCGTTCAGGACCTCAGGGTGTGGGATTCATCTGGAGATGCGACATGTCGGTGGTGGTTTGATGTGGTCCATACAGCCTACCTTAGATACAGTAGGTACCTAGCACGTGGCCCCTGAAATACTATGCTGAGGTTGAGGGTACTGTGGTCCTATGCTCCAAAAAAGGTCTCTACAGCCTGTACTGCGACACGTCTCCGACGGCTGCCACACCTGCCCGGCGCGTTGTGGGGAAGCCTGGACGGAGGGGTTGTGAGGTGTTGGAGAAGGCTTCCCCCTTTCCGTTCAATTGGTTGTTCTGGTTTGGGTATATTAGGGCCCGGTGGATGATGATGGTTCAGTTGCAGGCCTTTCTCTACAAAGTAGTGATGTTCTTGTTTACCGACTGTTACAGGTGATGCCCCCCAAGTCATGCTTGTCACCCTAGACTTTCGTCTGGAATGGGCTTTCGTCATGGGCCACTTGTGGATGGTGCTTTGAGACACCAAATGATACAGTAGGTACGATCTTCGCCCACATACATGAGAGGGGCACTGACGTCAACATGAGGAGAACTGACGGGGAAGGTTTGGCCTAGTCTCTCTGTCTTCACAGAAAACACAACTGTGGGGACGCACCTTTGAAAACCACACTGTAAGCGTCATGAGAAAAAAGAACTATATTTGGACACCAATGAACCTGCCACCTTCCTACGAGATCCTACGAGGCACTGGTCTGTGCACACCAATATATTACCTACCTTCAGTACAGTATAAACCCATTGCCATACATAGCCATACCTACTCACCTACGATGAGTTCCCTCAATCCACTCAGACTCAGCTAGCTCGCGAAGAGCGTTCGATCGTCCGTGCCGCGGCCTTTGAGCCGCTTGCGCCAGGCGTGAGGCATGTCGAAAGCAGATCTGCGTCGGGGCGGTCGATCCACATCGTCGTTCCACCGGTTGGTGGAACGACTGCACAAGCGCAGAGCCTTCCCGAGCCGTGCCTCATCTGGATGATCATCTCCCTTGCTCTTCTGATTTGGGGGGCTCTGAAGTTCGATTTAGGAAGTGCATCTGAGATGAAGCTACACGCGGTGGGGGTAGGGTTGTGGGGGGGTTGGGGGGGTGCTAGTGCTAATGACGTTCGATTGGATGTGCATCTAAGATCAAGCACCATGCACACACATGCGTTTGAATCTCTTCAAAACTCAATTCAGGGAAATGGATTGCAGGTTTTCGACACATGGACGGAAATGGAAGAATCTGTCTCTTCCACTTAATACCGCAGCTCTAGCTACGTGGAATGGTGAATCTACTATGAGACTATGTCATCATGTACAGTGACTCCAAGGCACCCAGAATAACTTGCACCTGAGTCCGTTAGATATTTTGACTGACAAGATGACAAGATGCACGTTTTATGCGCAGGGACTCTAGGAAGGGAAGAACATATATAATGTGACAAACAAATAACTCAAAATCTGTCCGCAAAAAATATCATACTTTGCACATGGGCCACTGAGGAGAAACAACAAAACAAACACAACGCTGAAAAATACAGCTTCAGCCTCTGCGTTTCAAGCACTACTCTAAAACTGCTCTAAACGTGTGGTTTCGTGAGCACTGCCCACAAACAGCAAACTCCAAAACCTCACCTTGACTAACCACACCGTGACCTTGTTCAAGTTTGAGGCTTGAGAGCAAAACAATAGAACACGCACTTGAATTATCAAGTTCCACTTGCTTAAGAGCATGGACACCACAGAAGCATATAACAAACGAAAATTGGCTCGCGAATGGTGACTACTAAGGGCTACTGTATACGCCAGAAACTCATGTTGTCCCGGCCTGTTCCCGGGTTACCCACCCCCACACCCAGACCGCCCATCGATCTGTCATATCACCAAACAGCAAACATATGGTGCAAATCATTATACCTGGACCTTCAAGGGGTGTCCTGGCTGGAGGTCCCTTAGTGGTGTAGGGGCTTCCATTGGGCACTGCTTGGAAGGTCCTGGTAGTCACATAGTCAATGAAAGGGACAGAACATGCACGGCATATTATACCTACATTGCCCCCCGCATGCCAATATCTTCCAACCTCTTCCATGCGACAGCCAATCTTCCAAGCCCATGGAAGATGCTGGGGGGGAAGGTCGTCACCAAACAGACCGAAAAGCCACCCATCTCAGCGGCCGGGACGGGTTGTCATCGCCTCTTCACAGTCAGTGAAGCTCGTCATCCGCATGGCCTAAACATCCGGTGCAAGCGCGGCGGAGGAGTGGTGGACGAAGCATGCGCCATGCGCTGAAACAGCGCGCCGGGGTGTTGAGAAGAAAAGGATGAAAAGAGTGACCATCTCACAAGGTGCTGTTGTTCTACTGACCAGGATTGGATCAGGAAACTACAACTACATGTATTTTGTTGAGAACACCAAAGCATGACACCCCCCCGGACTCGTGCTTGGCTGGAGAATCGTCGCCCTTTGCTTGGGGGTGAAGCTTTGGCTGTACCACACCGGTCAGTGGATCCACACCGATCGGGTGAAGCTTTGATCGTGGTGGTTCCTCCAAGCTATTCTCCGCGTGTCGCGTTCCAAACCCCCGCGGGATTAGTCGTACCGAACCTCAGGTTCGGTACGACTGGACCTATATAACAGTGTCGAACACATCACCTTCTATAGGAAGGTACTTGGATCCCTAGGGATGTGGATCCATAGAGAAATGACAGTAAGGCCAACCTGTTTCGAGTGTTTCTGCCGCGGATGGACCGAAGATTCATTCCGGATCCTCGTTCGGGGAGAGACCTTGATCCCTCCTCCAGTTTGTAGGGGATACGGATACAGGATGATACAGGTATATGGATGGATAATATAAGGATAGAGATGAGGATGAAGTAGATCGACGTGTTTTTTTTAACTCAGGACTCCCTGCTTGGCCTTCGAAAGACTCAGGGTCATACGGTCATACAAGTTGCATGTTCTCGAGCACTAGACCAGTCTCGACCAGTCTCGACTCGATCTATCTCGATGGGCGGAACTCAGAACCAGCAGTTCTATGTCGCCGTCCATCGAGGTAAAAGGGGTGCCCCTAAGGCAAAACCACCCAGTTCCACGTGACCCTGGAAGAGTGGCTCAGCCTTTTGTGAGCACCTGATTCTGAGCTGGAAGCCTTGTGAAGCAACGTGGGATGTCTCTGGATGCGTGCAAGGGGAACATACAGGGAACCCCATTAGTCTTGGCTGACGGGTCTCCCTTTTCCAACACATATCCATGTGTCCATGCGTCCTTCGATGCCTGCGAAATAAAGATTCGAAAACAAGCAGTTGCTTGGTTGCTTAGTCTGAGAAACCACTTAGCGGATTGATGTAGATCGTGGCCACCATCCCTCAGCGCACTGATGCCCTTTGTTGGCACACTTCAGTCGCCCTGGAATCCAATATGTGGAGTAATTCCTGAGCCCACACCTTCAGGACATGTTCCAAATCATCTTGGGCATTCTTGGACAGAAAATGTAAATTTTCCAAAACAATCGCAGCCGGAACCGTGTATATCTCACAAATATCTCTTCTCATGCTTCATCTTGGTTCCCGAAAACGCCTCGCCTGAGCATACTCCTCCAGAACGGTCAGCGCGCCCTGCCATGGCTCCAACGGCAACACGGGAGCCGCAGCCGCCATCTTCGCTTTTGGGAATCGCGGAGTTCATGGCGCCTGTTGTAGCGATGGATGGACACACTCCCAACAATCATGCAAGTGGAAAATGGTCCCTGAAACGATAAAACAACAACAACAACAACAACAACAACAACAACAACAACAACAACAACAACAACATGAAGTGTTCCTCTACAAACTGGATCAAACTGGGACTTCTCCACATTTCTCCATGTTTGTCTGATGTCTCACGGTACGGACCCTGGGTGTTTGATCAGGACGATCGGCTCCGCATGATCGGAGCCGTTTCGGCTCAAATGCGGCTGCGAGGGGTGTAGGTAGGTATCGGTCTCGTTGCTCAGCGGTATGGCTACGCATCACGGCGCCCCGAGAGGGGCAAAAGAATCCATTCAGTGGTGCAAATAGGGGAAACAAAACAGATGTGCACAACATGTTAAAACAACTAGACAAATAAAGGTGGGTTGTTGTTGCGGTTTTTGTTGTTGCGAACACATTTGAGGGTCTTAGTGTTTGTTGTTTCAGCTTTTTTTGAGCTGCCACCTGCTGAATATTGCACTGAAAACGCTGCGGTCGAACGGCAAGTGGACAGTGCGGACAAAGAATTTGACACGATAGAAAGAGGACACAATTATTTTCCTTTGAGGCCGGTGGAGCAAATGTTGGATTGGGAGAGGGTAAGTATAGGGTTTAGGGCCAACCAATTCACCAATCCCTCAGCTCTTCCTGGCTCCAAAACGCTGCTGCAAACGGTTGATTGAACGCAGTTCCCGGCTGGTTCCAACCTGTGGACAACTGGGCCAGTTCAAACGGTTCTCTCAGCAGAACTGGTGCCATGTTTCAAATGGTTAAAACCTGAACCCTGAGCTGCTAGCTACTCAAGGCTAAGTGGGATCAGTCCACCCCCAAACCATCAAACAACACCTTCATAAACGATCATGCAAAAGAAACTCCTTCATTGGTTTAAACTCATCACAACCAACAAGTAGAGCTGGTCCCCCGCAGGCGATGAAAGTCGAATCGCAACATCCAGCCCATCCAAGCAAAACACCTACTCGGACCGGAGCAGGCCCTTCATTCCTTGATTTCAGGGATGAATGCAGCTTCGGCCTCCCCGGGACGGCGGCCTGTAACATTTGTTCCCCCCGACGACCAATCCACCAGGACAATTGCGACAAGCCCCTGCAAATGGATGGTTTGAGGCCCAAATCCTTTCCTCACCGAATACCTGCAACGTCTAAGTACTTTTGCTTCGCTGTGGACGGTTTCGGTGGCCGTGGACGTCCCCTGTTAGAGGGAATATGAAGGAAAACGACACAAGTTTTTGTTACTATATTCAATATTATACCTTCTTCATGATTCGTTTAATATCGTTTAATATCGTTTAATACATCAACAAGGTGTTTGGGATTGCTTGGGAACTAGCCACTCAAACTCAAAACCTTGAAAACAAAAAACACGGAGAATGACTCAAGGATTAATCCAACAAAAACAAGTCCAGTGATACAAAAACAAACAAATCCTTGAGTTGTTTGTGCTTTCTACTATTCCTTGTGTTGTCCATGGTGTTTTTGAACTATATCATCACTTGAAACCTTGAAAAAACAAAGAAAGTAAACGAACTCAAGGGATAAGCTGAAACAAGTATATTAATCATGTTTAGAAGAAAAAACTCAAGCAAGCACCCCTCAACCTTCAGCCTGACATCGGAGTGCCTCTGCCTGGGAATTGAAAATCTCACCCTATATTGCTTCTTTGGCAGCTTCTTCTACCAGGGAGGACTATATTCTGTATTTTTTTCCTCGTGTTTCACGAATGCTTTCGCCAGTGCTCTTGGCAGCGTGGGATATCGTGGGATTATTTTTTCAAGTCCAAAAGACCGCGCCGACAACGAAAACCCAGGTTGCTCCACCTGACCGGGGCCTCACAGGTTGCCAATCAAACAATTTCCTGTTGTAGAAGACATGTTGCTCTGAACTGTTTTTTCAGTTTCACTCTGCATCTTCTTGAGTTCGCTTGCTTTCCCTTGTCGAGGGCCGACAACTTGCATCGACACCTGTTTTTTTTTGTATCAATTTTGTTCCATGGCCACCGTATAGATCGCATTGATCCCCGCGATCTTGCCTATGACTTTGGAATGCAAGTCCCTAAATTGGTACACAGGCAAGACGTTGAGGCGAAGCAAAGTTGGGATCAACAAAACCCAAACCCCTAAGTCCCTAACCCCTCCATGGGCTTTCCAGTGAACTTCGTTGCCACAAAACCCATCAGTATAGGTCAAGTTTTCGGAAGAGCCGAGCCTGAAGGGGCCCGAAAGGGTCTCTTCCAACCAATTTTTCTACCTTCCGTTCGGACCTGGTCTGGCCTCCAGGCAATTTTCGGGAGTCGTGTTTTTTCCTCTCTGTCTGCAGCGTGTGTTTTTGTTATTTTCGGGATGATGCAGACTCACTGCATCTCACTGCTCAGACTGGTTTGGAATTATCATAGCCACAATGCACACGAAGTTGGACGATCGAAACAAATGACTCGAAGTGGCCCACCTTGCCCATCATGTTCTCATAGGCCACCACCACGAAGTCGACCATGTGTGGGAGCTCGGGCTGAACCTGCCCAAAAAGGGGCTGAACTGTCACCGTTTTTAGCCCCTTTTGAGGGGAGGAAGAAATTGACGTGGAATAGATGTTTCCCACCAAAGTTGTATCACACTTTTCGCATTGGGGATGGCTCAACATAGAATACACATTGCACCCCAATCGCGTCACTGGTTTCATTGATGCAAGCAAACAACTCGATGTTTGCAATGTGTCTCCCCTGCGAATCGTACCTTCTGAAATTTGTTGATGACATTCGATGCGGGACCGCCATCCACATGGCTCGACCCGACGGCGCCTTCTTCTCCTTCAGCAGCTCGGCGATGACGCAGTCCCCGAAGCCAAAACCCGCACAGGGCACCTGGACGGAACTCGGTGAATAGATCTCGGGCGACCTTGGATTTGTTTCAGGAACATTCAGGAACTATGAAAACATAAAAGTCTTCGCCAGAGGGGGAATCACAACCAAGAGTGCTCTGGGATGGCTAGGTTGGAAAAGGTCCAGCATGGACTAACCTGTAGGACAGACCTTTCAAACGCCTTTGCGATTGAGTTGGTGCGTTGAAGATGTTTTGAGCCATAAACATACATACTGGTCAAAATCCAAACCATCTCTGGGGGGTGCGCCGCGCAGTTCCCTGACAAATAATGCAAGCAAGTCCAAAAGGGCTATACATGTTTGTAATTTTTGATAATGTCACCGTCTCAAAGGACATTCCCTATGAATTTGGCATCCCTTGACTCTCCATAATTGATATTCGATTACCTTCTATTCTGTTTGTTGACACTCTTGGACACAGGCCCCCCAAAATGGGCAAGCTTTTTGCGGCCAATGTTTTGTCATGCCCCCTACCTTCTGGGTGGGGACAAATGGTCCCCCACCTAAAGTCCGGCCCTCTAAATAAATACTCAGCAGGATTTCCTGGGGCTTCACTCAGCAATAGTAATATTTGGGAGGACGGTCTCTGCCAGACAACAAAACTTTAAAGACATGTTTTTAGTTGCACTTTCTTAACCGTTTGTGTTTTCTTATGCATCCTGGATAAGCTTGCATGTTCTATCAAAAAATGTTCAACCAGTCTCTAAGCTTTGCTTTGACGTTGACGTTCAGCCCCATCTTTAAAAAGGCAGCGGAAAAAAAAAGAACACACCTCTCTTGCGATCACCTTTCTCTTCAACATGCTTCCACTATCCTCAACTAGTGGAAATTGTTTTGAGGTATCCTCACGGGTGGTATGAAAAACTATTTTTGGCAACTAACATGTACCTGTGGAAGCAAAATTATTTTGGGTACCTTATGACCAACTCTTAAGCAAATACCAGGGTCCCCACCTACCACCCGTTCTCTAGGAAACTATTTTGAGAGGTGACGGTGTACCTCAAAATAGCATGTTTTGTCAATACAAGCATCCTTTTCTTCCATTTCAAGCCTGTAATTTCACAAGCCTCTCATCCGATTGTCCTATTACCACGTATTCATACGCTTCTCAAGCTCCTAATTGCCGCCTTCAGAAACCTTTTGCGTCTGCTGACTCATTGTTGGCTCATGCCTTTGGAATTGCCCATTCAGTGAAACTCATTGGCTAAATTGGTGGATACGTGAAACATTTGCTGCACACACTCACCTCAGCATTCTTCTGGGTCAGCTTCTCCAAGGCATTGTCAAAGCACTCTGCGATATGCTCTGTCTTCATGGCAGCTGTCATTAGTCATTGGTCCCAGTCCTATCCTGCATAAGCCTAGCCACAGACCCCTCAAAAAGAACACCCTAAACCAGTCCAAGAAAATCTTTTTTGTTATATGAAGCCATATGAATCCTTACCCAATACAGTTGTTCGCTCTGAAATAGGTCCCCGATAATACCTCTATTCCCAGCCCTTCCTAATTTTTTGGTCGCCCGGGATTTGACAAAATATAATGAAGCAAAATGTACAGTAATTCTTTGTTAGTCTTTGGGATCCCTCGTCATGAAGAGATTTACTCTTGGTGACCTCTCCTGACCGACCCCCCCCAAATAAATAAACCATCATCGACCTTCTCACCCCCCAATAGCAAACCGAACCCAGCGAGGCACAGATGATGAACCCCACGACAGCACGGCATGAACAGGCGGCTGGTCGGACGCCCGTCCCCTCCAGTCGGACGCCTCGCCTCCACCGGTGACCCATAGAGAGTCAACAGGCGATCGTACCTCCAGCACGGCAGCGCCGGCAGCACGGCACTCGCAATGTCGCGGCAGCCCAGCGGGGCTTCGTGTAGTCGGCGAGAGTACAGAGGGGTTGAGCTCCCGTAGGTCGCTTAGGAAGCTTGATGGACCCAATCATGACGAATCCACTGCTCTTTGTCCCAGCGGTCCGGTAGAGGTGAAGTGGAGGAGAGTCCGGTCCCAGTGGTCTTGAAAACGGCCTTAATATATGTGTATGATATGCTGCCTTCGCTCCGGGCCAACTTGAGCAAAGCCTCCAAACC